TGCCTCTCGCCTTCCGACGCTCCTCTACCTCTCAGAAGAACAGGACGTCAGAATGGGCCATTATCCAGGCAGGCTCGCCAATTGTCATGTTCCTCCGCGGGGACGAGGGCGTGTCGAAAGACAAAGCGACACATAAGTAGACGAACAAAATTAATTTACTCACAAGCACAAAAAAAGCAGAGCAGAACACAAAATTATAGGCGGTAGTGAAAGAAAAAAAAATAGAGTGGCCAAATAGCTACAGTCAATACAGGCAGTCTCGGTCGCGCGCTGAGAACACTCACAGTCTCGAGCGTCGATCTTGCTTGGAACGGGACGCGGCCTTGTTCCTCGATGTTACGGGTGTGGATCCAAGCTTGCTAGGAGCTCTAGGCCTTCCAGCACCGGTTCGATGGTGTCGCTTGACCGACCAGGTACGCGGCCTGGGTTGACAGGAGTGTTGCGAGGACACCCCTTTGCGTCCGCCTTGGAGCTCGAAGTCCAATGCTCCGGGCTTCTGGTGCGAGCAGCAGGCACCACGTCGCTCCGGCTCGATGGCGGCGAGAAGACATAGAGCGGAGCCAGGGTTCACCAGGAGCGAAGCCTGGGCTGCCGGGAGCGTTCGCGTGTCAGCTGCCGCCCTTCAGGTTCAGTCGTCGAAATGTCTTGCGCGAGCTTCTCCTTTCCGTTTTGCTCGAGCTTATCCTTTCCCTTTCGCTCGAGCTTGCCCCCTTCGTCTTTCGCTTTCACCGTCACTTCAGGAACGTGACAGTGGGTTAAAATTGTCACTTCACTCACCTTGGGAGGAGAACAATGTTGGCACGGCAGTCAGTTTCAGACGCTGCCACCCATCTGCTCGCCTGTCCTCGAAGCAGGATTTTTCGAAGTGCTCCTGTAAAGGTATGCCAGGTTTCTAAAACACTTCACAGCATCAAAGAGTTTCTACGTCTGCTTAGACCTTATATGGATGGGTTTCATCTACAACATGCTAGATCAAATAGCAATTCGACGTTTCAGACGAATTCTGTATTTGCATAGAACTTAGTAAAACAGACAAGTGGTTTTTGACACAGTACGTTTATAATATGGCCTCACGGGAGCTGCGTATTTTTATTAGATATTTCTCTGCGACAGAACACAGTGAATACTTGTTCTCATGGGGCCGGTCCACTGTTATTAACGGTACATGTATCAGAGGGAGGCCTTTCTCTATCCCAGGTGGCACATTTTCTGTACATCGCTCTTGAGCTGCTGCTGTTCAGGAGCGAGGTACAGAAAACGCGGACGGTTTTTTTTGGGGTAGATAAAGGACGGCGAAAATTGCGCGTCTATCGCTTTCGCAAAATAGCGTTTATGAATGCGAGCGCACGAGCGTCTCGCCCGCGGAAAGCGGTCCCCGATTCTAGTCACCGCCTCGACGGCCAAGATCTGAAGCCGCGTTGTTTGATCTAGGGCACGATCTGGGAGCATTAAGGGACCCTATACTTTATCTCACCTTAGCATGGACTAACCGCCAAGGCTGTGCCAACGCGAGACGCTACCCTTGACTGCCCTAACTGGCGCTGGCGCCACAAGAGCGCTGGCGCAGCCGCCGAGACGCCGTTCAGGGAAATTCACTCGCAATTTTACCACGTCCGGCCAACAGTAGTTCATGCTAAGCTGAGGCGAAGTATATTTTCATCACTTCGTGACACTGCGCGCACTCGGGACTGACAATTGTTGTACTTACATTGCAGACTAGCGAGTTGCTCGTCATTTCCCAGAGAGGCCTCCTACTCCTGATCTGAGACATCCACGCCGTCCTCCGTTCCGGCTTCGTTGGGAATCGGTACAACTTCGCACCATGTCTCGAACTTCCGCGACAAAACGGAATGCAGCGCGCTGGCATCGCGCCTATAAAGCTCGCATAAGCGAGGATTGCATTTTGCTAACCAAGAGGATAGCCCTAACGGGGATTAGCCTGGTTACAAAACGGCTGACGAAAATCAGTGGGCTAACCAGTCTTACAACATTGGTTTGTCGGCAAGTGGTATTACAAAGGATGGCACCACTCTAGGCAAAGGGAGCATGAAGGCACTCCAGTCGATGACAATGCGGTGCTTCGCTGCCGCCGTTTGTCGAACCCCTGAGGACGTGGCGCAGCACTCGCTGTATTCGGCGAGAAGCTCGAGCTGCTGCCGTCCCATTAGCAGGAACCTTCTGGCAGATGCCAAGTTGTGGGGGCGGCGTTCTTTGGTATTGAGATGAAGACAGGTCGTCTGAGATTGCCGTTATCACTGCCGTGTTCCGGAGTTTCAAGGTACGCCCATGGCACGCCCACCCTGAAGCTTCGTTACAGCTCTTGCGCCGCCGATTCCTCTTTCTAAAGCTACTGGACGCTGCCCTCCAGAGGGGCTTCGACGCAGGAAGCTTCATCCGTTCCGACGGGTACAAAACAGACGATTGTGGCGGCATGTTTACTTAGTCGGTGTGGACTGGGACTGCGGGTGACGTCCGTTCGGGTTTCTCCGGCGGTAGGACAGGATTTTCTAGCGTCAACTTATTCGCTCCCGGGTCGACGACGGCGCCACATTCACACAAGAAGTCCATCTCGAGAATAACGTTCCTCGTACAGTCCTGAAGAACGACGAAATTCACCGGGAAGGTTTAAAAGTGGATTTTGACTCGAGCAGTGAACTTCCCAAAAAGGTGTTATGAGATGCCCTCCGGCTGTTTGAAATTGTGGTCCATCCCTCGAAGTTGTTAATTTTTCGAAGTCACCGAGATAGCGTCCCACTCAAAGAGAAGTAGTCCACCTTGATATCCAGAATGCCGATGCATCATGGGTGTCGATGTCTGCGTTGGCGCCACTGCAACCGACTCGCCGGCACGCCTGTTGCTTCTACTCTGGCATCCCACCGATTCGACCAGGGCGACATCGGCACTGAGAACCGTCGAAAAATTGTCCGCGACGTCGTCAGGGAAGAGCTCAGGAAGCTGCTGCCTGCTGATGATCGCCGCACCTTGATCTCCATCGCAGAAATTGTTCACGAAAATTTAAAAAAAATTTGCCATATTTTAATACTTTTTAAGAAATGTATTTGTCAACTTTATTTGAATACTGAGTATTGAGTATTTCAAATAGTGACCAAATACAATTTTGAGCGCTGTTCTTTGCAACGAAATTCGGCGTTCGTCACACTTCGCAATTGGAGTCACATGTTAAGAGCATGATACTTGAAGCACAGATTACGCACAATAAACATCACAAAGAAAAACAATGGATGAACAAGGTGGCAAGAATTATTAACTTTTTTGTTGTGTTATTTAAAAAAAAAAAAAAAAACCTTGCATGAGGTGCATGTAGTTCAAAAAGCCCTTGTTGCTTTAACAGAGACTTGAAAATTAAACTCAGACTGAATACGTCGTTTTTTCTGATGTTGTACTTACCTCCCTTGTGACGAAGAAAATTAATTTTTGGACTTGTAACTTTCGGTTATGACCACCTATTCTTGGTATATGTAAACTAACCTCTTTATTTGGGCCCGGTACCTTTTTTTTACTCCAGTTTAAATTTGAGCCGAATATATGAGACGGGGAACAAAATATATTTGGAAATGTATTTGAGGACTATCAAATACTCTCGTTGTATATGCATATTGTATTTGACTACTCGTCTAAGAGGTAAATTTGTGTTTCAAATTGAATCTAACTTTTTGAAGTATTTCGTATTTCTATTTTTAATAATGTTTTTATTACTTTGCCCGTCCCTGGTTGAGCTCTTTCCCCACAGTGCACTTTAATCATTATTGTATCTGGTGTTCCCAAATCTAAAATTATTCCTGGAGCCTACGGACACCATAGCATAAAGCGACATGAACACGTACTTCGCTCAGGAAGTGACAAACACCGCAATAATTAGTCAAGTCTGGTTCAATGATTGGCGTATGGCTGTCCGAGGACGCTGCTTTTTTTGTAAGTGCTTGCAGTGAGAGTAGACACTAGCACACTGGCGCCACCTATCAGGTAGAAAAGTGGTAATTTGAGCTAGTTGGTACATCACTAATATTAAACAGCGCATAAAAAGTCCGCCGACCTTTTGTGCGCTGTTTAGTATTAGTATTATTAATTATCAGGTAGAACTTGAACTGTGTATAACTAGATTGAATGGTTTGCTTTAAATATGAGGTTGAATCCCCACCCTATTAATGGTAAGCTGCCTATCATAACAATGTTACAAAAATTTCAAGCCCTCGGTAAAAAAATATGGCGTAAAAGATATTAAGATGTGTACCGTGGTAGGCGGGTATGCGAGAGCGCAAAACGCTCGCCCACAATGAAAGGCAGTGTGTGATCTAGCCTTCATCACCTGCCGGTAGCTGTCAGCCTATCACTCACTTGGACTAAAGGATTGACAGCAGAATTAATTTCCTTCACATTACTATAAGTCCCAGAGAAGGCAAAAGCAATAGGAGCTCTGATAGGAAGCACGGACGGACCGGGAAAAGGGTCGAAAATAGACTATTTTATCAATCAATAGAAACATTATACTTATAGGTCTTCCGCCAGGACAAAGCTGTTCAATGATCACTTGCCGTCCGCTAAACGTGCAACAAAATTGCCTCCTCGCAAAATGTTCGCTGCTCCCAAATGTTATGTGGTCTATTTAATTGGGTCACTACAGCAGCCCAGGTATTTTAGATGCTCGAAACAGTGAAAGCTTTGTGGTCAAGTCCAGTTTTCTTTCATAGATAAAAATCATCCCTTAACACTAACGATAAAACTCGGCGCCTTAAAAATAGTTTTTTTTTTCTATTTTATATGTCCTAGATTCTCGAGATGTACATGCAGTAGTTCATTTTATTGTGAATACCGCAACTTCAGTCAATTTGACAAGCACTCAACTCCTTGTTTAAAAAAAAAACGCTCTCATTGACCAATTTTATATTGGTCAATTAGTTCAATACTTGCATAAAGTCACCTTAACAAAGTGAGATCTGCGCATTGCACTCGAGGGCTAAGGTGCACTTTATTGTCTGCAAGTGACCTTTACAGCCTAGATCTTGCCACGACCATGTCGTCGGCCGTGTCGATCTCAAATTGTTTTTTGATTTCCTTCAGGAACTCAGGATCCCGCATCACTTCCAGAGCCGTCAGAGCGAGCGCCTTGGCCGTTTTCAAGGTTAAGGCGAATGAATCTGGTGTGTTTGTTGCCTTTGTGAACTCTGCGGTGTGATTGAAACCTGTCGCATTTAGTTTGAAATACGGGTGGAGCGTCGGGAGGACGTGGGACACATTTCCGGCGTCAGTTGATCCAGTGTTCTCGTCTACCCCGCTCACTGGGGGGAAACCTGATAAGAAAGGGAGAAGGTCACGTGTGCTTCCCATGCATGCAGCTTTCTAAAATACGGCGTTTTGGCATGTAAATTATTACGTTTCTGGCGCTAAATTTTGTTTCTTGTCCACACCATAGGGCTGCACAGATAGAGGCTTTGTTCAATTCATCAACTATATTACGAAAGTTTAAAATTATTCAGACATTATTTTAAACACGCCATGCTTTTAACGAAACCCTCTTGTACAAAACAGTTGCCCGTCCGTCTGTCTTTCTGTCCGTCAGTTTGTCCACTTCTCCGCTAAATTCAGCCCGCTCATTTGCCTCATGTGACCTGATGTCGCGACACCTATACACCAATTCAGCTTTTCCGCTAAGTTCAGAGGGGAAAATCGAAATAAAATATACGGTTTCCTTACCACCAAATCGAATGTTTAATGTGTTCTCAACAACTTTCAACAATCGTTCCTTAAACACTGATTTCAGCGCAGTACAAGAGTTTTGAGATAAAAGTCGCTACCAATTTTTTTTCCTTATTGAGCATTCGTGACTTCTACACTCTCAGAAAAAAGGGCGTAATCTTACACCCTTTGTTCCATATAATACACTCCAAAACTTTAGTTCTACGCACAGGGCGCTGACGTCAAACCGGTGATACCAACTTTCACGAGCGGCTTGATAGCCGAATGGTACAACTTATTAAAATATCTAACGTACGTGTTACTGACTATAAAATAATAATCTGAGTTTTTTTTAGCCTTACAGCAAAACCTCACTGTTTTCTTTTTGTAGTCTGTGATACGTGCTGTTTATTAAGTTATTTCGCACCGTTATAAAGCCCCCTGTAAAAGTTGGGGCCGTCTGTTCGACGTCACTGCTCTGTACGTCGAACGAAAGTTTTGGCTTGCATTATTTGGGACAAAAGGGTGTAATACGACACACTTTTTTATAGTTTAGAGTGAGGTAAAATGTGTGTGTTTTACGTGCCGAACACACGAAAGGCATGTAGCAAGCCCTCGTGGATTAGTGACGATTAATCTGGACCACCTGGAAGGTCCTTTCGTCTGCAACTGAAATCTTCGTTAAACTGCGCCTTCTTAAAAATTAGCATCGGTCTAATTGCAGGCACCTTGGCCGGGATTCGAACAGACACCCGGGAATCTGCAGGCGGCGCTCCGTAACGAAAACACCGAGGAGGCTTGTTGAGTCAGGTACTGTTCCACCTAGAGACATCTGCATTTTCTTTTGTATTTGCATTTTGTCGCATTAATGTAAGAAAGATTTAATATATTTTAAATATTCTCTAAAATAAAACTGTACCTTTTCTTATACGGCCAGGGGGCCAAAATATAGGACCCTGATCGTCGCGATAAGCTGAATAACAGCCTAGCACTTGTTAATTACATCTTTAACTGGTAAAAACGGACATATTGTTCCAACTAGAATCTTGCTGAGGATCTTCGAAAACCACTATATCGGGCAATATTAGAAATATTTTGACCCCGTGGGAAGTATGGTACTGTACTAGAATTACAACTCTTACCGCAGGCACAAACAAGGCTCGAAACGAAAAACGCAAATGATGAGACAAAACAAAAAAAAAAAAAGATTAGCGGATGCATTTTTTTTTGTTTTTTTTACCGGCAGCCTTGTGTCTGTTCCACGAATGGTAGCTTGAGTGCACCACTGCACTTCCCACGCGCTTTAAGGCTTTCTGAAGTTTACTGATTTTGTGGTTTTCGATGACGCTCAGCCAGTTTCTGATTGAAACCAAATATATGCTTTTAATCAGAAACGCTAACTTTATTAAAAGTTAGCGAAAAAAGTTTAGTTTTTTGTCCGACCTATGAAGACCATTGAATCTCATATTATGTCTCCTGGCCGTATAACTCACCCGCACACACAAAATTAGTGTTGCTTCTAGGGTATTTTTTAAACAAAAGAGTAATCCATAGACAAAACACGTTATTGAATGCGCTTAATTACGAGTTTTTTGAGTATTGTTTAATGTTCTAAACCCTAACTAATATGCTTTAATTGGTAACTTTGTGAAAATTTTATTTTCAAAGAGACACTGCTTCATAAACAATATTAAAAAAAAATGTCGCCTTCGAATTATGTAGAAATAGCATAGACAAAACGTGTCCTCTACACTGCTCTCTTCTTGCTCATGTATTTGCCGTAACACAATAACGGCTAACATCCAAATAAGGTCAACTAGATAATTATCAACTTACCGACTGCTCTCGCAAAAGCTTCGAAGACTTTGCTCATGGGCTCGCTACTAATCAGGTTGTCTACCAAGGGGCCGCCATCTTTGATTTCAACAGAGCAACCGGTGGCTGTCGCAGCAGCTTTGAAACAATTCTCCAGCTTTTCCTTCAATATGAGCACATTCTTCCTATCCTGGGCTCTAAGAGTGAACTCCATCTCCGTGTGTTCGGGTATAACATTAGCGGCTGTTCCACCTTCCTTGACAATTCCTAAACAAGTTGAGATGTATATTTATTATTGAACAATCAATCGATCACTCAGTGTTAATTACGATGCCCAGGAATGACCAATCGGTCTTCGTTTCAGAACACTTAGAATACACTAAATATAAAGTTGCATCGATTATACGAAAAACCCGGGGAGCACAGAAGATGTGGTAAGGGCAATATACGTGCATCATAATTAGCTACGCTTGGTTATGGAAAGCTTTGTGCGGTTTTGGATGTGCCGAACACTCGACCCACTGATGTGTTCTCAGTATTTATAATAACTATCGAGCCATGTCTCAATATATTCGGAAGTGAAGTGTGTCCGGAGCATGCATTAGTTAGGCGTTTTTCGTGGGTTCTGCTCTTGTTTGTGGGGATAGAGACTTGAATACTGAATGCTCTTAGATTGCGAGAAGCAAACGCTAGGGAAGGAGGTATACGGTGCCCGTTACGCTATCTGCTGACTGCTGTCTGAAGTTGCTACGTCGTACGCCCGATGCGCTATTCTTTGTTACGTTATGATCCACCCCGTGATGTCGTAAGTCCATGTAGGTAGCTAAGCTTCGGCATTCGGGACCCAGCTGTGCTCACCTACTTCTTCCTGAGAGGTGAGCATACTGGACAAGGTATGACTCGCCGCCGAATTTCGCATATGGAAAAATCATGCAAAACTAGGTATAACTCGCCGCCGACGATCGCTGGCGTACTAAGTATGTAGAACTAAGCATGACTCTCCGCCGATGGTCGCCTGGCTAGTTACGCGCTGAACAAAGTATGCTGAACTATGAGCAAATATACTGCGTGCAGCATACTCAGTTCAGCGGTAAACGCGGTAGACGCGTCTTCAAATTCGCGTTTAGCGCAGGGGACCGTCGGCGGCCAGTCAGCCTAGAAAGTTTTGGCGAATCGTTTTTGCAAATCCGATACGGTTCGTTGGACACTCCGGTAGGAACTGCGCATGTGCTACCACAGAAGACTCGCATATGTGCAGTTCTCAACGAAGTGCCCATCGTATCGTATCGGATGTGCAAACACGGTTCCCTACAACTCTCTGCTTAGTCCAGCTGCTTGCGCTCTCGTTTGCCTCCTCCTGTAGCACAGAGAAAACACGTGGCCTGGCCCGCCGTTAGATTCTTGTTGGGTTTCTTGGTGAATATCCCGGGTTGGGATCAATTGTGCCTTGTTATGATTATTAATGAAATAATTAAGACTCTGCATACCTGATGCAGGGTGTTTTATTTCATATCGAACATGATTTCTAAAACAAGGGGTTGAGAGATAGACGAGTGCCGTCTTCAACACGCATTTAACAGGCTCGGCAGACGTGAGGTGAGGGGATACTCGTCTTGCTAAGTTGGCGAATTACACTAGATTTCTTCATTAGCTTTTCAATTATTGGTTTTAGGGGTCCTGTTGCAGTCACAGTATTGACAGTAATTACTGTTATAGGCCAGATGAATTTAAAAAAATGGCAAAAAGGTAATGGTTTGTGAGATATTCCATCGATGTTCTAGTTTTTTCGCCCTATTTAAGAACTGCACTTAAAATGAGCGTCGCAAGCCCTGCTCACACTGAGTCTTGGAGGAATGAAGGCGTTTCAATCATGTCGTCACTGTCTCTGCATCATGTACTTGGTTGGTGCGACGACGAAGTGACCACCTGACCTAAACGTGTACGTCAGTCTTCCTAACCTCCGTGCGGGCAGAGCACAATGCGCTTTTCATCAGCGCATATTTTAAAAAAAGGCCGAAAAGAAAGAGTGAACTGATCTAGAAATTAATAAAAAAAGATTAGCTGTTCAGAAATTCTTTAAATTTGTCCGGCATCTAATAGAAATCGCCGTCAATACTGTAGTCACAATGTGCTCCCTAAATCAATCATTAATAAAAGTTAATAAACAATATTTCGCTAATTTGTCAACTTAGCATGATGATTATCTCCTCATCCAATGTCAGCATTGCATGACGAATACATGGTGAAGACGGCACTCGTCTCTCTCTCGACCCCCTTTCTTTTCCAGAAAATCTTTCGGAATTAACTTTAACGTACTCTATATGCTGGCGACGCTTATGCTCTACCGGATATGGGCTTGGCGTGACTTACGTTGCTTTAGCGTGCGTGTAACGCTTCTCTCTGTAACTTGAGCGGGACACCTTTCCCATAATATCCATCCCACAAACGCATATTCTGCTTTAAGAATAACTCAAGTGTAGAGCAGGAACACAGTCTACATACGTGACAGTAAGGTAATAAAAGATTTAAAAGGCTGTTGAAGCTACAAGACAGACAAAAAGAGTAAGACTGACACGTGAACAAGGTGTTCACGTTATAAGAAAGTATAACTATAGAAGATTTAAATGATAATAATGCCAATAAATTAATATTTTTTTTTATTTGGCTTCCTCGAGTCACGGTCGGGAGAGCAGCAAAAGTGAGAGTTTACCTGTTGATGCCACACTACACTCAGCAGTAAAAAAGGGGAAAAAAGACAAATCACAAAGATCAAGCGCCTGTGAATAAATAAATAAATAAAAAAAATATACATATATACAGGTTTTTTTCTTGTTTTTTTTAAAGCTTAAAAGAATTTTTAAAAAGAAACCATGAAAGCTAGGTTAATGCGGTTTTAGCAGGTGAGTTATACGACCAGGGGGACATAGTATAGGGGGCTAATCGTAACGATCAGTCGGCAAATTAGGTAAAATTTGTTAATTGACTTTTCAATTAATGAAAATAGACACATAGTTCCAATTATAAACTTGCTCAGCGTCATCGAAAACTACTAAATCAGTCATTTTCAGAAAGACATTGAACACGTGAGCACCGTTTAACTGAGCTTTCGATTGCACGTCAAAAGATCCCCAGGTGGTCGAAATTAATCCTCAGTCCTCCGCTGGCGCGTGCCAGATGCCCGTCGTAGGTTGGGTACGTAAAACCCCCAAATTTGATGTAACACGTGAGCAGCGTATTAGTACACTAAAGTTACCGCTCGTGGAGCAGGTACAAGGCTGGGGTAAATAAGAGACGGAAAAGTTGCGCGGGAGCCATATCGCAACCGCTAGCTTTGTACGTGCTCCACGATTGCTAACTTTAGTGCACTGCTACGCTTCTCACGCGCTCAAAGTCTTTCTAAAAATGACTGATTTAGGGGCTTCCGATGACGCCCAGCAAGTTTCTAATTGAAACTGTTTGTCTATTTTCAATAATTAAAACGTTTATTAACGAATCTTAACGAATTAGCCGACTGATCGTTACGACTAGCCTATTATATTATGTCCCCCTGGCCGTGTCTCTTATCTGCGCAGACCGTATTAATATAACTTTCATGGTTTTCGAAAACAAATTTTGTTAAGCTTAAAAAAACATCCTGTATATATATATATATATATATATATATATATATTGTTACGGTGTTGTCGTTGAAAGAGTAGAGAGTCTCCGGCGGGTCGGCTTTTATTTGGAACCGCCGGGCTCAGCTCGAGCTGTCGCGCGCCCTAGCCATTTGTCTGACGCACTCTTTTTCTTCATCTATATAACATTACCCCCCCCCCCCCCCCCCCCCCCTTTTGTTTCGCGGTCGTCCCGACCGCAATTAACAAAATATATATATATATATAAATATGCTTTTTTTTTTGTAACGAGGGTGGTGGTGGTTCATGGGGTGGGTCGGGGGGTGTAGGGCTTCATGCGGGCGACGTGGACTACATCGGAGGCTGCTCGGCGTCGGTCAGTAGTGTCTTGCTGTTGCTGCACGTGGTATGAAAGGTCGGATAGCTTGCGCACGACTACGTACGGGCCGATGTAGCGGTGGAGGAACTTGGTCGCCAAGCCCTGGTGACGCTGAGGTGTCCAGAGTAAAACAATGTCACCTATTTCATATGAAACGGGGCGGTGAGTCTTGTTATACCGTAGGCATTGGCGTTGCTGGGATGTACGTGTGCGTAGCCGGGCAAGTTGGCGCGCTTCTTCAGCACGACACACGAGATGTGCTACAGTGTCGGGAAGTTCGTCATTTTGACGGTAAGGTAAGAGCGTGTCCAAGAATGTGGTTGGAGGGCGATTATGGAGAAGATAAAATGGAGAATAGCCGTGAGTGCCTTGAACGGCGGTGTTGTATGCGTAAGTAACGAACGGAAGAACAGCATCCCATTGGTGTTGGTCAGACTGGACATACATGGAAATCATGTCGGCAATGGTGCGAGTGAAACGTTCCACCAAGCCATTTGTTTGTGGAAGATATGCTGTTTTGTGTCTATGAATGGTTCCACAAAGATGTAATAGCTTTTGTATCACCTGGAAAAGAAATACTGTTCCTCGATCGCTCAGTATGTGACGAGGGGGCCGTGTCGCAAAATGATTTTGTGTTAGAGAAATGTGGCGACTTCATCTGAGTTTGCGGACTGTAAGGCAGCGGTCTCTGCATAACGTAACAAATGGCCCATGGCAACAATGACCCAGCGGTTACCGTTGTGTGTAAGAGGCAGGGGCCCCAACAGGTTGGCACCGATGCGTTCGAATGGGCAGTGAGGTGGATCGAGAGAATGTAGAAGTCCAGCTGGTGCGGTCGTTGGCCTTTTTCGCCGCTGACATTGGACGCATGACGCTACGTATTTGGAGATGTCGCGGTACATGCCGTGTCACTAGAAGGTATTGCGCACACGCATATAAGTTTTAATGAAGACCAGGTGTCCAGCTGTAGGGTCATCATGTAGAGCGCCTAAGATATCGGGTCGGAGATGTCTTGGAACGACAAAGAGCAGAGTAGGACCATGTGGGTCATAGTTGCGACGATGCAGTACGTCACTCTGCATTGTGTAGGGGCCAACAAGCCGTTGTTCGTGGCGGGTGAGGTGTGGTTTGTTCAGACAGTGTAAAATCTGTTGTAAGTGTGGGTCTCTCCTTTGTTCCAGAGCGAAATCCAAACTAGAGGACAAAGCTATTGCGGCAACGGCAGCTGAGGGAGTTTCTGGAAAGGGTGAGATGGGACTCCGAGATAAGCA